CTTCTCCATGTCGTCCAGACCGGCTCTGGAGTCCACCCACCCTCCTATGCAATCGGTACCGGGGGCTCTTTCCCGGGTTTAAAGCGGTCGGGGCGTTAAGCCGAGCATTCACCTCCAACTAGTGCCGAGGTCAAGAAAATGTGGATCTATACATCCACTCCCCCATATGCCTTCATGGCGTAGTGCTTAATTAAGAACAGGGACAACTTTACCTTCTAGAAGTAAATGAATGTATGAGGCGGTTACAAGCGCGGCATCAGTACCGCAATGATTAAAAAAAGAAAGGGAGTTGAAGGAAAGACGTAAATATACTAAATATTACTACCAAAAGTTAAATTTATTTTCAAAACATGTACTCTCTTATTCTGAATAATCGAAGGTCATCAGTAAAAGCAGCATTAATCGGCTTAAACGTAAGTGTGTAAGCAAATTTTATGGTCTGAAAGTCGTGGTGGGTACGAACCCCCTTGGCAGGGCATGGCTGTCTGTGTGTGCGTTTATTCTGTTTATGTTGTCCTGTATGCAGGTAGCGGCATTGCGATGGGCTGATCTCCCGTCCAAGGAGTCCTACCGACTGTGTATATGATTAAGAAACTGAAGAATCGGCTAAGAGACCGCCTCTGTGGTCTAGTGGTCAGAGTCCCTGGTTACAGATCCAGAGGTCCCGGGTTCGATTGCCGTCGATACCAGATTTTCTGAGAAGTAGTGGATCTGGAACGGGGTCCAGTCAGCCTCATGAGGATAAATGAGGAGCTATTTCAAGGAAATAGCGGCTTCAGTATAGAAAACAGAAATTAACGGCAGTGGGGATCCATTGCGCTGACCACGCGACACCCTCTATCCGCTAAAGTTGGTACTAACGTCACCAACAATCGGCGGTCGATCGGTCGGTATAGTTCGCTTGCGGGCTCAAACCACGGACAATCGGCCAAGGCCCACAAGGGCTGTAGAGCCATAGATAGATGAAAGTCGCGGTAGCGCCCGAGAATGGGCGAGATTAATCATTGGGCCGATGTTCACACTTCACCATCTCAGCTAGTATGCATAATGAAGAGGAAATAACTGACGTGCATTTTATAGAATATCAAACCGTATATCTGAAGGATGAGGTGGGCAAGGCATGTAGCACGAATGAGGGAGACGAGGAATGCATATAGAATATTGGTGGGAAATCCAGGAGGAAAGTTATTCAGTATTTCTTTCCTTGGCACTACAGCCCCAGTGGGCCTAGGCCTACCTTCAAGAACTTCTCCGTTCACTTCGGTTTTTCTAGATCTTACACATTCAGTAGGACTCCTTCGGCGTGTGATCAGCTCGTTGCAAGGCCTCTACCTGCACACAAACACAGAAAAACGCACACAAACATCCATGCCCTGAGTGGGATTCGAACCCACGATCCCGGCTTCCGAGCGAGCGAAGACAGTACATGCCTTAGACCGCTCGGCTACCGTGACCGGCATTAAGTTTTTTTTACAAATTTATTTTTCTGAAAAAAATTCCAAGCACGTATATAAAATGTTTCAGCCAACAAGTTAGCTTGATTATTATGAAAGTTTGATGTCCATTAGTAGGTCCTCGTGACTGAAGGCCGGGTCGCGATCCAGTGTTAAGGAACCGGTGTTCTTGCCTGTCAATTTAAAATACGCAGTTCTCAAATGTGTCTTGTTGTGTTGCATGTTGTCCCGTTTGTCGTATCGCATATTATGCATCTTGGTATAGATCCTGTCATACAGGTACAGCTTTTCTGTCGATAAAATCTGGTTCGTGTTAAGCCACAAACAAAGCCCCATTTGTACCAAGTCCGCTTTGCGTATAGATCGTGGGTATAGACGAGATACTGAGAACACAGACTGCATCTAATGATCGTGATACACCCCTCAGGGCCGTTTCCATTAAACGCCGAAGTTCGCTGCCCTCTGAGATACAGAGAGCAGACTCTTCGTCTGGTCTGGCCTGGCCTACTTGTTTGTGGCCAGCAACGGACGTTGCTTCGCGTAGTATTCTGAACGCCCACGTGTGCAGTTCCGCTAGTACGGACTCCAAAGAAGTTATGAAACCGGACGTTATGCACAACACTCTCAGGGTCAACTCCCTCGGGCAGAGTCCGTCTACAGAAGCTAATAACACATAGCTAATTAAAGAAATTTTTCGCCTTTACGAAAGAGGAGCTAATCCCTTGACCCTATTTTGAGCCACAGGCGTGCAGTCCATATCCTGCTTCTTTA